AGTGTGGGCAGTTACCTGTAGTGTGTTTTTTAATTTTTTTTAGGTGGTTATTTAGGTTGGTGTGTCCTGTTTGGAGTTTAGTGATTACTCTGTCGATTTTTTTGGATGGATGGAGAATTTTTGGTTTGGTTAGTGGTTTCCTGAGCACTTTTTTGATTTGGCTATTTGAGTTTAGATATAGGTTATGCCATTTTTTGGTGATTTTTTGCTTGTTTACACTTTTAATTTCTGATTTTGAGATGGGTAATTTTAAGCTTATTTCTGGGATTTTGAGGGATAGTTTAGCTGCTTTATCGGCGTTTTCATTACCGTATATTCCTACGTGGGCGGGTATCCACAAGAAGGTTATTTGTTTGCCTGCCTTAGTTAGGTCGTTGGAGCTTTTAAGTATTTGATTTATTAATTTAGGTCGGTTTTTGGTATTTTTGTTTTGGAGGGCTTGCAGTCCACTTAAGGAGTCGGTAAGTATTAGGATTTTTTTGTGTTTTTTGGATTCTTGATTATGAAGGGCTGAGGCCATGCCCATTAGTTCTGCCGTGAATATTGATTGGTTGTTTGGGAGTCGGAAGGATTGTGTGGTTTTAGTTGGTTGTGTGGTATGGACTCCGAAACCTGTGTGTTTGGAGGTCGGATCTGAGGATCCGTCCGTGTAAATGTGACACTAATTTGGCCAATTTTCGTGTATGTATGCTAGTGTGGTAGTTTTAGCTATGTTTGGGTCGGTTTGTTTATTTATTTGGCTAGCTAGTGTTGTGTCTATTTTGGGTATTTTTAGTTTAGGGGTGAAGATATTTGATTGTTTGCAGTTTTGTTTGAGATTTTTAATTTGGTGTTCATTTAGGTAGTTTGTTATTCTTTGGGATATTGGGGTAAGTAAGGGGTGTTTACGAGCTAGAGCTTGGTTTTGGGGGCTGATGTTTTGGTTTATTAAGTTTTGGATGAGAGGGTTTGATTGGGACGCGGCCCAGAAATTTAAGCTTAGCTGTTCCCTGCGTAGACTTAGTGGCATTTCTCCTGTTAAGGCCTGAAGTGAGGTGTAGGAGGTGCCATGTTGGGTGCGTGTAATTAGTTTGAGAGCCTGATATTGTATTGAGTCAAGTTTTTTAGATAGAGAGTTGTTTAGGGTGTTATATATGGCGCAGCCGTAGTCTAGTTTTGATCTAATTAGTGATATGTAGAGAGAGAGGAGGGTATCTTTGGATGCTACCCAGTTAGAGCCAGTTAGGCATCTTAGGGTGTTTAGGTCTTTACTGCATTTAGTTGTTAGGTTTTGGATGTGAGCATCCCAGGTGAGATGTTCATCGAAAATAAGTCCTAAGAATTTGGTTTGTTTTTGAAATTTGATTGTTTGATTGTTTAGCTGGAGGATCGGGGAGGCGGGTTTCATGTTTTTATGTTTTATGTTATGTTTGAACATATGGATCATTAATATAACATAAAATATTTCCTTTCATAGAGTCATAGCGACTGATTTATGACTACCATTGTCTGAAGTACATTTGACTCCATAGGCAAATTACCCTGTAGCCATGTCTCCATAACTTAATTGTCATTAAGTTTTAGGCGCTAATCCCCGTTGTTAATCCTCACCAACATTTCATTGTATTTTGACTGACAGCCAACCTTGGCTACTTTATCACTTCCCGTTCATTACTGTTATTTATAGTATGACATTTATTGCCTTAATTGTTCATCCCCTAAGCTGTGTCACCCCCAGAAGTCCCATGTCCAGAGCAACGTCATTGTATTTCCATTGTTGTTCATTACTACATGTATATATGTGCTACCATTACACAGTTACTACGGTGTTAGTCAGGCTTGGTATTCCGAGTGCTGGTGTAGGGACGACCTCGAGCAGGATGTGCCGCTCGTAGGAAACGCCCTGAGGTGAGCTGGAGCTACGCTCACCTCTTGTATGCCTAAGCTGGAAGGTCCGCTCATCGCTGTGTTTGTGTTGTCAGAGCAGGTATTCCTCTCATTGTGCAATTGTTGTTTACAGTGTATATGTTGTGCATAAAGCGTTCCGGGACAGTGATGTCGATTTTGTTCTTATTCCCCCAATTCACCAACATGCGCGTTGACAATAGGAAGAAGTTATCATTAATTTATGACATATATAAGGACAAAAATTACCTCAGAGGATAATCTTCTCTGGGGGTGTAAGAGGATTAAAATAATTCCAGCTAATATCAAGCACTGTAATAAAATATTGAAATTATAGCATACCTTTTTAACATTCCAATGAAAAGAATAGTGACTAAGAAACCAAATTATTTTTATCTCAGATACTATGTCCTCATCAGTATACACACACACATAACACAAACACACATATACACACACACATACATACACATACACACATATGTATGTATGTATGTATGTATGTATGTATGTATGTATGTATGTATGTATGTATGTATGTATGTATGTATTTTGCCAGTAAATACACCTCTATATGTCATTGGTATCAGATCTATGACTGCAATTCTACATATAGTTGCAAGTGAAAGATGAGTGATACTACTTTGTGAGAGGTCCCACAAAAATGCTGATATGAGCAATTAAAGGTTATACAAAATGCAACAAATACAAGAAATTTATGATAATTCGTATTCTCTTTGAAACTGTACAAGAGTTATCCGATGATACCGGATGTTATTTGTGTATGCACGGGATCTGTCAATTCATTTGTTGTATTTGAATTCTTTGTCAAAATAAATGAATAATTTTTGTATAAATATGATTAAATCTCCCCGTTTGTTTCAAGAAAAAGGATCATGTAGTCCTTATCAACTCGTATAGTGTTTCCACTGCAAATCGACACACTGGTTGACCAGCCTGTGTTTGTACCCTTCGTCACCACTCGTGTCGAACTGGTCAACGTACTGTTGAAACAAGTCATGCAAAACATCTTGAATAGCCTTATAAGAGTATTGAACAATATGTCACAATTTAGTTATTTGTCGAATATACGGTTGTGTAACCCATCATTTTGAACCCGAGGATGGATCTTTCAGTCATTTATATTTATCGTTGTTGACACCACCCTTTAATGACGATTGTACGATAAAGCCTATACCAACCATCCCTAACTTAACAGTTTTGTACGTTTGTCATCATACACAGTATTTCTCGAATTGTACATGTGAAATGCAAGCTCAACTGACAAAGAACATTTCTAGTCAATTGGCGTCTTGGACACTACGGTAGTAAGGTTATTACAATTTACGTAAGAATTTATTACATTTAACCACAAGTAGAGATTATTACAATTTACGTCAATTTTTATTACAATTTGCGTATTTCAATTTGCGTCAAACATTATTACAATTGACGTTGTTATTACAATTTACGTCAAAATTATTACAATTTGCTGCAAGTATTACAATTTACCTTTTTATTACAATTTACGTCGTAACAAGGCTATTTACAAAAAGGCCGAGTGAACATGGGGGGGGGGGGGGGGGGGGGTAGGGACTCTACATAGCATACTGATTATGAAGCACTCATAAAACCTGGCAGATTTGCCACAAATCACTACATCTCCCATCTCAAAAATTAAAGTTAGACGTTACAGTTCTACACATAGAAAAGCTCAATTATATGTTCGTCAACATTAATACAAACTGCAATGAAATAAAACAGAAAGCACATTTGCTTGAGATCCACTTTCTGGCTTGACAATAAAATCAATGGAAATTAAACCATTCACTCACATGAACTCAGATATGTTGACCAAATCAATTTAACTAAACAAATGTCAAATGATTATAGGTCTAGCATGACCTTAGGCTTACAGATCGACCACTCCTGGTGATGTGTGCTAAGTTCTGTGGTGGACTTGATTTGCTGTCTTGATTGGTGTGCTCGTTACTTTCTGCTCATTTGTCTCAGGCTTGGTTTCACAAGTTTGATTGACAGCAGGTTTGAGTTTGTCACTGGTTGATAACAAGTGTACGACGGTATTGAGCACCATCGTTGGTCTGAACGATGTATGACCTATCCTGGTCATGTTGACTTTTGCTGATCACTGTGGCTGGTTTCCACAGGGTTTCTGTTGGAAGCCGAACTCGCACTGGCTCGTAGATATTGAGTTTTGATAGTTGTTTCGCGGACTTGTCATAGTTCTGTTTCTGTTGAAGTTTTGACTGAGCAATCTGCTTCTGTACGATTTCAGGATCAACAGTTTTAGGTTTCATTTCTTCATACGTCACTGGAAGTGTTGAACGAAGACGACGTCCCATTAACATCAGGTAGGGCTATACATGTCCGATGGGAGTGTTGTTGTACTCCAACAAGCTGAGTCTTGGATCTCTTTTATCAGCTGGTACTTTGTCGAACAGACGTTTGGCTATCTGCACACCTTTCTCAGCCAAACCATTAGTCTGCGGGTAGTGAGGACTAGACGTTGAATGTTTGAAACTCCAACACTTTGTGAAGTTAACAAATTCCTCTGCTGTGTATTGAGTGCCATTATCTGATATCACTTCCTGAGGCACTCCATCCTGTCTGGCACTATTATCCTCTCTCCTTTGAAGAGAATATCATCCTTCACTGAGATGTTGGATAGATGAAGGGCAGTTTCTTCGTTTGTCTGGCCATCCTTGTTTCACAATTGACTTCAACTTTTTTAACACAGGGTCCTGCTGTATTGAAATCCTCACCTCGGACGTTCTTTCATCACTCACTGGCACAGTTGTGAGTACCATATGTACTTGCATTTCAGCTCCATCACTGAGATTGTCATCATCACAGTTTGTCACAAACTTTCTAGACAGTGTATCCGCTAGAGGAATACTCTTTCCTGGTTGATGAACCACTGTGATATCATACTTTTGTAACTGCAATAACATCCTTTGTAGCCTGGGTGGAGCAACAGCTAGTGACTTCTTCATGCTGATTTCAATCGGCTTGTGATCGCTCTCAACTCTCGCCTTTCTCCCATAGAGATATTGATGAAATCTCTTACAGGGAAACAAGATGGCATACATCTCCTTTTAGATCTGAGCATAGTTACACTCAGTCTGGGTGAGTGACTTGGAAGGATATGCAACTGGTCTTCCTTCCTGGAGAACAGCAGCTCCAAAACCATTTTGTGATGCATGCACTTGAAGAGTGAGCTCCTTCTTCGGATCATAGTAGGCCAAGAAATCTGTACTGGTTACAGCATTCTTCATCTTCTTGAAGGCAATCTCCGCATTGCTGTCCCATTGAAACATATTATCTTGTTTCAACATATCTCGCAGAGGGAAAGTCTTCTCTGAAAGACAAGGTGTGAACTTACTCAGGTAGTTCTCCAACTCTGATTGATCCTTAGGTGCTTCCATTTTCTGGATGGCATCCACTTTCTTAGCGTCGGGCTTGATCCCATCAGCTGAGGGAATGTGACCAAAGTAACTCACTTCATGTACTCCAATCACTGTTTTCTCTGGGTTCAGATGAATGCCTTTCTCACTGGAACGCTGTAACATCGCTCTCAGACGAAGATCATGTTCCTCCTTTGACTGTCCATGCATGTGAATGTAATCGACGATCACATTGAATCCATCGAGGTTCTCATAGATCTCATCCATTCTGCGCTGGAATTCATCTTGTGATGAGTTGATCCCAAAAGGTAAGCATAGAAAACGATATCGGCCAGACGGACTGTTGAAGTTGTCAATAGCAACGAATCTTCATTTACTACGTGTATGGACCAGTATCCAGACCTGGCGTCTAAAACGCTGAAATATTTGGCTCCTGCAAGTTGTGAAGTTACATCTTCAAACGTCGGCATTCTGTAGTGAGGTCTCATGATGGCTTGATTGAGATCCTTGGGATCGAGGCATATCCGTATTTGACCAGTTTTGGGTTTCTCTGCAATTAGTGAGTTGACCCAGGCTGTGCTCTTCGTGACCTTGGCAATGACACCGAGATCCTTCATTCGATCTTGCTCTACTTTCACCTTGTCCTTTATGGCAAATGCAACACGTCGAGGTGCATGTATAACTGGAGTTACATCAGGCTTGAAATGTAGTTTACATTTACCTTTGCGTTTGCCTATTCCTTTGAAAACATCTGCGAACTTGTTCAATACAGAGTCCTGAGTCATACCTGACGACGAAGGCTGTGAGTCGACTGCTAGGATCAATTTGACAAGTTTCAGATCCAAACAAGTTCGTAAACTAAGAACAAGCGGAGCCTTAGTTTCGACAATGAAGAAATCAAGTGACATACTTGAATGTCTGTTGTAGACCTTCATGTTACATTGACCTTTGACCTTGATGTATTCACCTCCATAACCTTGAAGCTTGACATTAGCTTGCTTCAGGGGGTACTTCAAACTTTTAGCTTCAAATATGCTAGCTGGTAAGGTGTTGACCTTTGAACCTGTATCTAACTTGAAATGAACCGGAATCTTCTGATGTCCGACCAAAACTTCAGTGTAGGCTTGGTCCATATGTTCATTTCCATCAGACACTGTATCAATGAATAATTCTGATGCAGAATTAGGTGTTTCATCAACACAATCAATTCGTTTCTTTGAGTGTCCTTTTCTCTGGCTGGATTTACACATACTTGCAAAATGATTCCATTTATCACAAGTATCGCAATGTTCACCTCGGGCTGGAAACTTTTGACCACTGAAATGTCTGAATTCGCAATTTTCACACTGTTCTGTTTCCCTGCCATGCTGTTTGTCACCTTTATCATGCTTGTCATAGTGTTGTCTCCCCTTGTGACTGTTACCATGGAAACTAGAAGAACTGGCTTTCTCTTACTTCGTGAACGAGAAATGTGATCCACTTTTTCTGTTCCTCCTGACATACTTTCGACTTGTGCTTTCGAAAGTTCATATGAACGGGAAATATCTATAGCCTTAGTCGAATCTAAATCTTTACCTTCTTGCAGCAGTTTTTCTCGAACTTCACGTGAATTTGACCAAATCACCACATATCTCATATCTACATATCTCATATCATACTACATATGTCATCAGAATTACAACATATCTCATCAGAATCACTACATATCTCATGATTAAAGAAATGTTTTTGTTGCTTTTATTTAAAAGTGCTCATAGAATTCCGATCCACATAAGCCATATTGCAAAATGTCATTACTCTCTTATTCATTTATATATAGCCCTGCCCTTCTTAATTCCTTATTTTTCAAACCTGCGTCTGGATGAAAAGTAGAGCTAAAACGGCGCTGGAAAAAATGTAACATCAAACTCAAACTGTTTTGCTCTCTTCACGATAAATTAGTAAAGATGCACTTTCTTGATTCTCAATGACAAAGATCACCTGATTCATTACGTTGTTTTAATCAACAAGTAATCCTTCGCGTTATAATGTCAGTCAGTGGGCTAGAAGCAAGATCATTATATAGTTTCATCATTTCTAATAAGAGTCGCAATTTGCACGAAATATGTTTAACAGCCTGAATAGCCGTAAAAATGACATATTTACACTAATATGTGTGTCGTACTGATTTTACGAAAAGAGAGTCACTATCACACACATGCTCGTATAATTATCTCTATATATTCTGGTTGATAAATTAGTAGATTTGATTCAAATTTCTTCAGTTGATGCTAGCTCCGCCTCTGTCACCAACTGTCATAGCGGAGAAGACAAACGTTGAGTGGTGGCTACATTTTCAAGATTATCAGATTGTATTCTTATTCAAGTGTCGGAATAAGAGTTGATTTTTTGTGGGTAGAGTTCTTCATAAAACCACAGCCGTATCCTGGATTGGAAATAGTAGAATGAAATTTAGAAATATAATTGATTATAGATTTCATGTAAACATAGAAGAGTAGGCGAATTTTCAGAAAATGTTAATGGTTTTCATGTTGCGGCTAACAAACAACTTTTCTGGACGTATTGGTATGTTCTAAATTGATTTAGGGGGTTTGCCCGGATGTATTTCAACGGTTAACCCACAAATTTGATAAATTCAAAATGGCCGCCACAGAAACTTTAAAAATTCATTTTTGTCATATCTTGGGTACTAAACATGGTGGGACCACAAGTAAAACATTTCGCTGTATGTTTTCATGTACAAGGAATCCATTGAAACCATAAGTTAACCTTCAATATGTCAAGAAATCAAGATGGCCGCTACATTAGGGCAAATTCGATTACAAACTGCGTCAGATGCAAACAGATTCTTATTAACATGCGTGACTTATTATGGTTGTAATGGTGGAGAAACTAACTGTAAATGATACAGCTATAGTTAAGTATAGTTGTTTACCCTTCACCGGGTTATTCGGACGCTTGTGTTGTTGAGAGAGACTCGAGGGGTGGTCCGAGCATCATGATGTTGGGTGGAATTGGTCGTGCACATAGGATCAGCCCTGTGGTCTTCCACAACATCTGTCCAGGGGGAGGCAATGGTGTCAAAGCAGCTAAGGTACATTGATCAAATCTTGAGCCCACACGCCATACCTCATTAGGCACGTCGCCGCAACCATGAGTTTCAGCATGATAACGCCCGTGCCCACACTGCATGAGCAACAAGAGACTTCCTCCAGCAGAATGGCATCAAAACAATGCAGTGGCCTGCCCTCAGTTCCGATTTTAATCCCATTGAGCACCTGTGGGACGAGATTCAAAGACGGCTTAATGATGTCCACCCAAGGCCGACAACTACAGCTGAACTGCATCAGGCGTTCCTCAGAGTGTGGGCTCAAGTGCCTATGGCCTTCATCAACCGCCTCATCCATTCCATGTATCGATGTTGCACGGCAGTCATCAATGCACATGGTGGACACACGAGATACTGACTTGTGACTAGTGTTGTGTTTAAGAACACTTTAAGAACATTTCACACTTTAATTTCAACCTTTATGATCAGTTTTGCCAAGTTTCATCTTTTTTATATGTCTCAAAGTATGTATACAGTGTTTGGACAAATAAGGTTTCTCATATATCTATCCATGGTGACGTTTCTTTTGCGGTTCAGTATAAATGGTCAGTAACATCAATCCTCTGAAAGGTGGATCCAATCTTGCACACAACGTTTGCAAATGCTTTTGCATATTCTCCAAATGTGCTTATGTTCCTCGGCTTTCCGAGAGCCATCACTAGTGCCTGGCCATCAATCAGCAAGAGGGTTGGTCCATCCAGTGCAACAGTTGATGATGTCAGTACATCATTGGTCAATATGTTGGCTAGCACAGACTTGTTCGTTGAGTGCAGGTTACCACTGGCTGTGGCAATGGATATTGAAACAAACATAAGCTCATGCTGGAGGATGTTGTCCATGTTGACCTTACGTCCTACCCTATAAGTTATTATTAGCCTTTGCAAAATGTTTCTATCCATCTTTATCGTACTTTGTTTGTCTTTGACGTCTTGCATAACAATGTAAAGTGAGGCAAATGTCAGAGCTTTATTCTTATGAATGGGAGCTTTGAGATCGACATGCTCGGCATTTGCTGGAGCCAGCACATACATTTCGTACCAAACTCCTCAAGCTGCTTTTTGCCAAGATATTCTGCTCCAAGTAACGACTCCTGTCACGACAGTGGCAAGATCCTTGTTGATCATGTTCTGTAGTGTGGCTACTTTGTTATGGAAGACCTAATGTTGCTTCAGTGACGTAACCAGTCGTGCTTCATCTCGATCATCTTTCGTCCTTCTTCCATTGGTACACTCGTTGGGAGTGTAGATGTTGTCGTCATCATCCATTGTTACGCGGAACATTAGTTTAGTCTGTGGTGCCATCAGCGTCCTAATTATAAATCGTTGCATTCCTGGATCAATGATTCATTTGACGAAATCTTGTTCCCTGTTTTGAATTACCTTCAGATAGTTCCAGACCAATTATAAAATTTCCAGTCCTATGTGTTGCGCATAAATCCGAGATAATTCGAAGTTCATATTCTTGTACGAACACTTATAAAAATTCATTTATACCTAGTACTATTATGTACATAAGTATATTAGTTCAAATTATAATAATGAGGCCCTCTATTCTTGAAACGGTCTTTGTTCTACGACAACGTTTAACCGTAAGTCGGTATGGGAAAACAAAATATTTGTTTAATTGTTCAAAGTTCATAGTCAATGTCATATGATTATAGACAAGGAAGATAAGAAATTAAATATAAATGGGAGCCACTTTAAATGACAGAAATTCTTTTAGTTAAATTTGCCCATGATTTGGTCTTTTCATGGTAAATAGTGCCAAAATACTCTTAATTATTTACTTTCATGTCATTACTAATCTCACATAAGGTCAAAAGTTGTACAACGTTTAACAGATATGATTATGACATGTTGTATCCAAACATATCCACACAAATCCAAACAAACCCAAACAAATCCAAGCTTGGAAATATGACCTTGACAAATTTTGGAATGGTCATATTTCCATTTGGAATGGTGGTATTTCCAAGTTTTGGATTGTTTGGAATGGATGATATTTTGTCCAGTGTATAGCCATCCTTATCAGCACTAATTACGCGGTCCCACGATTTACAACCTTGTTGACACCACGCCATGTCGATATCGAAATCAGTCAATGAGAGGGCTGCAATTAAAAAACGGGCATAAGTGCACTATATACTACTACTCACGCCAAAGTGTCTGTGGCGATATGGTTGAAATATTGCCGATTGTCAGCACCATACCCGTGCCCGCGGGTTTCACCGAAATGGTAACGTCTGTGACCTGCATCACTTCGGCCTTTCCTCCCACATTAAGCTGACACACCGCGATATAACTGAAATACTGTTAAAAGCGGCGTTAAAACCCAACTCGCTCACTCACTCACTGTGGCCGATTAGTCAGGACTAATGCCGATTTTTCAAATGTTAGCCCACTTAGATACCATGCCGCAGTAAACATGAATACCCCACTCAATACACTGCCCCCGAGCCGACCAGTCATTGTTTGAGCCCCGTGCGCCACACAGGGTAACAAGTCCCATCTTTTAACGTCTTTTGGTATTAACGAACTCCTGACCTTCCACTCTCCGGGACGAGGGTCTACCACTGGACCCCGGAGGCGGTCTACTACAATGAACATGCGCATGATGAGTATCACATAAGTATTATCAAACGCTGTTATTCCATTGTGCCCTGTATATTTTACATGGTCAGCGGTAACATGTCATATTAATAATCCATCGATATCGTTCCTGGTTGGTCTATCCAAAGACGTATATACGTCTTTGGTCTATCCATGTTCTATATTCAAAAGCAATTTTTGGTATTATTCACTGAATCATGAAGACTGAATGTTTACACGTATGTACAAAATGTACATTTTTTTCTCCCATTCCAAGAGAAGATATATATTTACCATCATTTACCACAATTACCAGTCCTGTTTTTCCTTTCAGTCCGCTATTGCAGCTGGCATTTGGTTACATCACCTTACATTCCCAATACATTTCTCAAGTTAACAAGAACCTGATCAATGAGTGGTCCTCTTTCCTCCTTATTCGACTGTTCTGTTATACAATTAATAATACGATGTTATCATTTTGAAAAAGCAACAACATGTCTGTCTTGTTCACTGTCATATCGGACGCTGTGCGTATATAGTATAATATTTTAAT